TCAACTCTGTACGATTAAATAAACCCTATAACTACGCCACTGTACAGACAATCACGTTGTAGGCTCTCTACTGGTGCTCCCGAATGTTTTTAGGGCTGCATCAGAACGAAAGAGAATATCGCTACTCTGTGTCCACCCACCTCCCCTCTTACGCATTGCGCGGCTCACGAGAAAGCGTACTATATAGCTCTACCTTCCTTCACCCCCTGCAACCCTCTAACCACTGCTACCCCCACCATCAATTTTCTCGTCAACACAACTTCCATAAACAAGCAAGAGTCTCCGGCACGTCAAATAATAAACTTATTTTTGTTTTCTGTCAGTAGCACCTCACCTGGATCGATTTTCAAAGCCTGTAAAGCTTTTTCATCCTTGGCAAAGTAGTAACATCGTATCAAAATTTCATTGAAATCGAAGCACTGATTTCCATATTACAGACGGCTAAAGGATTATCGGGTAAACCGACAGACAGACGAACTGACGCGGAAACGAGTGACATGGGTTTTCCTGAAGTAGATGTCATGTAATATCCAAAAAAATATAATATATCGTTTTCAACGTATTTTGCGATTAAAATTCTTCCTCGCTGTCATGGGAAGTATACCATCCAATATTTTTTTCTCTGGCGTTGGGATATCTTGATCACCATGACCATTTCCGTTATTCACTGTGAAACTTGAATGTTCTTAAAAATGCGATTGTAAGCGACCTACTCGAATTCACGTATGCCACCAGGAATTTTACAGTCTTCGGGTGATTACAGTCAATCATCAGATTTCCTGAACAAAAATAAAAAAAAACTGTAAACTTAAGAAACCCCAGATCTTACCAATTTTTGTGACAATTGCATAAGCTGACGCGACACATCAAGGTTTCAAAAACGTTTCTTCATTGAAGAAAAAGAACAAAAACCACACGCGACAGTTGCGTAATTCCTTCAGATACACACCGCTGGTTCACTGAATTTTTACATTGAACTTGATTTTCAGCTTTGCAGATGAAGACTGGCGATATGGCAGGTCAGGGAAACTAGTTGTTAGTTTTGCACAAATATGGAAATTCAAGATGCCTTGAAAGTGGTACGTATCTTGGACGCTGACGACGCGATTAGAATAGAAATAGTGCTATTAGTATGTACTCTCTAGATACTCGTAGGTAAATAAAATAAAATATTGTTACTGCTTGGATTTTTCCGTTAAGGCGTTGATCCTATCTATCCTTTAGGCTATTTTGTCCTTTGGAGATTTTAAAAAAATAGGTCCGATGTAAGGTAATCAAAATTATCAGATATATCACTTTACATCAATAAAAATGAAATGTGAAGCTTCCTGCAAAAGCTGATCAATATGATACAGGTAGCATTCCAGTTCTCTCGACATTAATTGCCGAACCCTTGCAAATGGCAGTCATTTGTGATTAAGTAACATCTCTGGGGCCGTTCAAGTATTACGTGAGCACGATGGGGGGGCCGGGGGGTCTTTGCTTTGATTATTTTGGATGACATGGGGGTTAGGGGAGTCTAGATGATGATTACGTCATCGGTAGTTATTTACTTTTTACACGAATGGCAACCCTCACATTGTCTTTGCTTGAAAACGAAACGCATTTTCGGGGATTCCCCCAAATAATGCATTCGTTGAGTGAACAGCGCGCGGTAATTCCCCTACTCGCTTTAGAACGGAGTAGGGGAATTACCGCGCGGTGTTCACTTGTCTAAATTTCCTCTATCAGTATATTGTTTCGTTTGGATACTATAGCGAGTAGACGTATTGTAAGCATAGTAAAGCAAGTTAACATTTGTGTTACCATTGATTCCATTAGCCAAAGTTTAATGTTTAAATAAGATATCATTTCACATAGACAAATCCAAGTTATACCAAAAATTGTTTGAAAGTTTTAAAAAATCTAAAAGTACGAAAGTACAAAATGTACAAAAGTTAGTTAACGAAATGTGGCGAAATTACAAGCAAAATCCGACAAGGAACTAGATATTATTGTATCTAAGAGAATCTAAGAAGAATTGCAAGCGGCGACTAAGAATAAATCCAATCTACTAATTTTTTTTTCTAAGGTGAGTGACGAAATCATTTTAGGTACCTATGAGTACTAGAAATATTAGAAATCGCCAAAAAGTTTTTCTTTACTGATTAGAAAATAGTATGGCCTATCTCAAAGTATAGAGGTAATATTCATTATATTATAGATTTATCTCTTATGATTGATTCCGTCAATTGGTCACAAAGTACAGGATGTTAGTTTTATACATACATATATACAGAAAACTAACACCCTGTATTTTGTGACTGGAACGAATTGCTCGTTTAAACATATTAGATTTAAAGCCATAGGGTTTTGTATTTACCATATATTTTGCCATACTTTGTATTTATGTAGCTTAATAAGAGAATCTAGTAGAAGCCATAGAAAGTTTTTATTTTTAGGCAACCTGTAAACCTGCAGAAAAAACACAAATTATACAGTTAGCTTCAAATATTAAAAAAGAGGAAGAAGATAAAATAAAACCCGGTAATGAATCACAACAGCAATGCGAAATTAATGAAAATACAGATAAACAGAGAGCAAAACCTTCTCAGAAAGCTATGAAAAATAAGATTGCTCTACTCGAAAAAAATCTGAATGCTTCGTATTCTGCCAGAAATACTATGCCAAGCCGTGCTGAAGTTGATAAACAGATCATCAAGAAACACAGGGATGGTATGAAAGGAAAGTTAGAAGATATTTGTCATTAAAATCCAGAAATAAAAAAAAAGACTATCTCTGAGGGATTCAGTGGGACGTCCTAATCTTGAAAGCAGTCAACATTCAAATGATAGAAGACGAACGGAATCAATTCGCAGCGTAAAAACTCTTGATGAACTCACACAAGAATTACGTAAAATAGGATTTGACATTAGTCGCAGTGGGACATATCTTCGTTTGATTCCCAGAAAATCTAATTCTGCAGAGTTACGAAGACATGTATCGACAGTCCCTGTTAAGCTCATTCGGGCTCAAACTGATCACCACAAGAGCCACTTAGATAGCAAGTTCGCTGAAACATCAATCCATTATTTAGAGAACATAGCATCCATACTTGGACCAGATCAGGTATTTTTCATATCTCAAGGTGATAAAGCTCGAGTCCCTATTGGCGTAACTGCGGCAAATAAGCAAGCATCCCTTCTAATGCACATGAAATATAGAATCAAATTGCCTGAACACGATTGGGTAATCGCTGAGCGTCATAAATTAATACCATCTGTTTATGCTGGTATCAAAATCACTTCCAATATGTTAGGACAACCGCAAGCCGTTGGATATTCTGGACCAACATACATCGCTATTCGAAGTGGAAAGCATAGTTCATCTACTGCTAATACTCATGCTCAGGATTTTGAGACGCTTCTCGAA